CAGTGATATGCTTAACAACCAGGATATAAGGTTGTAAAATGAGGCAACTCACTTAACAAATGTCTCACTTAGCAACAGAAATTTTGGGTTCAATTGTGATCGTAAATTGAGGACTACCTTACTGTAATAATGAATTCTAGAATGCAACACTGGAATACAATTGTAAAAAATAGCATATCTTTAAAAAATCTCTGTCTGAATCTGATCTATCCTTTAGTTTTAAGATTGAAATACTAAGTAACAGAAATATGCCCCTCCCTTAACACTGCAGAACCAATAAAAATTATTAACTATTTTTTTTGAACAGAGTAAAGTATCAAATGGAGGTCTAAAGGCAGCAGTTCTCTAAATGAAATGAAACATGATTAGTAAGTTGATATTCTGTACCACTGAATATATTGTATTTTTATAATAGTTTATATTGTATGAATTAAAAAATGAAGTAGTGCAAAACCAAAATTAGTTAATTTCACAGCATAAAGAATCTAATATATTATATATTTATAATAGCTTATAGGTAAAATACATTAGAATACAGAAAAGCTTTTCTTAATAAACTGATTTGGATATAAGATAACTGAATAATTGGCCCACATGCTGTAAGAAAACATTTAATACCAACTAACGTTCCATTCTACATTAAAATTGCAAAGCTTCAATTTTACTCAGTCTCAGTTGTTGCAATTGATCTGTCTTAACCTCTTAGATAACAAAAACATTGCAAGACACTGCCGCTTTAAATATTTCAAGGCTTATATAGCTAGTAAATAGGCCCCATTGCAATATGGCTGTGAAGGTCATGTCCTATTGTATCTTTCCTCCAATATTGAGTATGAAAGAATAAAAATGTTTACTCTACACAAATATTTTAATGTGTCTTAATCTCTGTATTGCCATTATACATGTTCTTATTAATAGTAAATGCTATTCAGGTCAATACACACCCAAGCCTCTTCCTGAATCTATTTAAATCCACACCCTGGACATATTATGATGATTACATTTTAGCAATTTCAGCATGTTATTTGCATTCATATGCCTAATTTTGCAAACGCAATCCTGTTGAACCTCATTTCTCAGCATTAGTGAGGCAGAGCAGTTTTAAGCAAAAGGGATTGGCCTTTAATGTGGAAAGGATAATTAAACAGATTCCTCAAGTATTGTTGGATTTGGTCATACTTTTTAATTTACAATATAAAACCACCTAGACAAGATCTGAAACTTTGTATTTCGGCATTTTTAAAGAATACTATTTTAGTTAAAATGCATAAAATGGAAGGCAACTGATATTAAGGAAAAGAGCTAGAACCAAAATGCAAATATTTTTAAAACTGAAAATCAATGGAAACAAGGAGGCTAGAAATAATCTGTTTTTGAATCCCTAACATATGTGAATGCTGTCTACAAGTATATAGATTTAATTATATGAAGAAAGACTGTTACCTAATGCTGGCATAAACTGTAATGACAAAAACATTTAATTTTATACAGGATTAAATTATAAAACAAATGCTAAAATATCTCTGCCCATTCTCCCCCATCCCTTGTTCTGCACTCCAAGAAAGGACTTTACCTGAAAAGGCAACAGATTATTGCCATTGTCTGTCCTGAAGGCGTTGTCTTCCATCCAGGATTTTGGAGCTAGAGGAGCAGCCCGGGGAAATTTCGGTGGGGCAATAACATTGGTAGAAAAGGGCTTTTTAAGAGGTGAAATGGGATTGAGTGGGGATGGCACTCCAACTCCAACTCCCACACCAACTCCCACACCTACTGCCCTTCGAGGGTCTCTGCCAGCTTGCAGCCCACCCCAAGGATTGGAAGGTGTACTCCAAGCTGCATTTTGATGGTTATTCCAGCTGGAAGGAGAAGATGTGGAGGTGGAAGAGGAAGAAGGTTTGCTGGTCATGATGGGCTGATGGCTATAAGCAGCATTTCTCTGGGCAAAAGATGCCTGATTAGGGCTGACCGGTGACCTCCTTTGCTGCTGCTGTGCTTGTTGCTGCTGCTGCTGTTGGTGGTGCTGAGTCTGAGCTAGGCCAATCTGGGGGGAGAAAGTGCCTCCAAAAACAGGATTGACATGATGAGGGAAATTTTGGAAAAGCATTGTCCCATTAACTGGGGTAATCCCTTGAAAAAAGCTATCATCCACTGCGTTTGTGGTCCCTGTAGACCAAGTGCTTCCGAAGGAGGGAGACAAGGACGTGCTGGCTGTAGGCTCCTGCTGAGGCTGGTGGAAACTTAAGCCCGGCAAGATGGGAGACTCCATTTGCATCTTTTCTTTGCTATTTTGGGCAGGAGCTGCTGAGCCGATGCTAGTCACTGGACTGTCCTCCGGTTTGGGTGTCTCTGACGTTATGGGTGTAGAAGGAGCTTCTGCTGCGTTTGGATCTTGCTGCTGCCGCTGCTGCTGAGGCTGGACTTTGCTTTTGTCCATCAGTAAATCATCCTGCATGGTTTGCGCAGCTGAAACGAGGAGAAAAGGAAAAACCATAGAGTATTAACATTCATAAAGCTGCTTTAGCCTTCCGCTGCTCACTAAAATTCCACTGCTAGTATAAAGCCGCCGCAAATTGCAAGACACAGCAATACTAATACGTAATCCCCACCCCCACTCCCTTTAGGGGTAAACGGTTCGAATCGGCACGATCAGTTCCCATTGCCTCTAAAAACACATTTGAAGAGGTTTCACCCTTTTCGATGTCTTGCTTCCTTTCAGTGTAAAGGAAAAATGTGCTTATAGGGCACAGATATACAGCAATTTCGCCACGTCTCTTTCTCTTATACCGGAACTCAGAGCTCTCGCCCTGCAATGAGAAACTGATTCTGGTTCCTGTTTTTCCGTACACCCTCCTCCTCCCCTGTTATTTGCATACGTCAATAAATACTGCTGCGTCCTTCAGCAAGGTTAAAAAGACAGCAGCCTTTACTCTTCTCCACCCCTTTCCTATGAATAGACTTTTAAAGGAGCCGAATACCCATTTTGATTAATCAACAAAAAGGTTCAGCCAACTAATTCGAAACCATTCGCGATCTAAAGTCTAGAATAAGTGTAAACGCTCAAGACGAGACATTTTGCTCTTTAAATTACGGGGGAAGGAACCGAGGGAAAGTACCCTACATAACGAAATATTCCGTTTGGCTTGCTTTAACAACCATTTTGGATAAAACCGGCTTAATAACTACTTCGTTTTCTATTTGCTTCTGTATTCCTTTCAAGCACGTTAAATACAACACAACGTAATCTGTTCGTAAATTTTAAACAATTCAACGTTGTGACTGAGAGTAAAGTTAATTGAATTCAGTTATACTCCTTTTTAACACGAATGCATTTGTAGGATTAACTCGTCTTTAAAAATATTTTATTTTGGCTTAAAAATACTGAAATATACTGGGACCCTCAAAATTGATAAAAGTATTCAACAGCTGTAACAATTTTCCAAAGGCAAATGGCAGGATTAGAGTATGCATACATTATTTAAAATACTGTCCATTGTAAATAACTAGACTTTCAGAAATATATAAATATCATTGCTTTCATTCATGTTAATAGTCTTCCAAAAATCCTTTATTACTGGGCAGTTTAAAATGTAATAAATACACAAATAATTGTAAAAATATTAATTAGCATTCATTAGCTTTTATAGCAAGAAAGCTATGAGAAAAAGTAAAATAGTAAAATAGACTAAAGGCAGTCATCCATCTAACATACTTAACTTTGTAAACTGATTTAGTTAGTAATTCAACATTCAAAATCTAGTGCTGTGTCCTGGCTTCCTTCCCTCCCTCCCTCCCCTTTACCCAGTATTGAAATCACTCGGTTTTTTTCTTGCTATTTAACTGCATAGAAGTAATCAAGGCGTCATAACAGCAGCTGCTCAGAGGACTTAAGAGAATTATGAACATAGTAATTTTCTTTCTCACATCTCTCCTATTCCAGGGATTCATAAATTTATCATTCCTCTTCAAACAGATAGTTAATCAAGTAAGAACAGCCAGCAGCATATATTGTACGGGTATTAATCCACAGCAGGATAGTTCACAGTAATAATTTTCTTCACTACTGATCTACACACGAGCTAAAAATAATGTGTTGCGGAGGGTGCCTATATAGAGTCTTCTAAGCTAAATTCAGAATCCCCAAAAGGAGTAAACTAGCGCATCTTTGCACGCAGTTCTGACGCTGCTGTAGGGGGTGCAGGCAAACCTTTAAAGCAGCACTGCAGCAAGCCATAATATCAAAGCCTTTGTGTAGTTTTCTATTAGCTGCACTTGGATCAAATTCATCAAAGCGGTAGTGTAGACAAAATATACACAAAATATTTCATGCAAAGGGGGAAAAAACGGGGATATTACTCTGCACCAGGTTTTAAAATGCCTATTTATGAAAACATTTCTATAAATAAGGATATTATTAAAACTATATCTTCCAATGTAGATGATAAGATATACTGTAACAACTGATTTAAATACCACTATGAACTTCATATTATACTTAGGATTTCACTAAAATTCACACCTTTCCCTCTCAAGGTCAAAATCCACTTAGTGAATGTAGGCAGTCTGAACCAGAAAATAAAGGACGTTACTCTAAAAAAAAAAAGCAGGTAGCCAAACACCTAGTTGTAGGTTAATATCCAGAGTCCCCTGCTTTCTCCACCCCTTTTTCTCCCACTGAATATATTGTGTCAATCCAAAGTATACTACGGAAAAAATAATATCCCCTTCATACTTCATTTGCATGCAGTAACCCATACTGCCCAGATGCCCAGAACATTTACCTTTTGAGTGTTCTGTATTTAAAGATCAATGAAAGGTAGGGACAGTATGTCTATTTCCTTCTTTCGGGTTTGGTATATGATAAATAGAAATTGCTCTGGCAAGAGCACTTTGACAACTGTAAGCTTAAGGCGCATGCGTGCGAGTGGCATTGTGGGGGTTGAAGTCTTCTGCGAATGAGCTCTTTTGAACGGAGGCAGGCTGGGAGAATACTGTAGTATACTATTCAAAGCAGCGACGCACGTTTAGTAAGAGGAACTACGGCTATATGGATTTTCAACAAAGAAAACTGGCCTAACAGGTACGTTTGGAATTAATAGTTACTTAATCATATATGAATAATTGATCTTAATTTAGACATAGATCAAAATGCTAACGTTTCCTTGTTTTTTTAGAGATTTGTATCGTATCTGAATTAAAATCAACCAGGTAACAGCTGCCCAAAGTAAGTTGTTATAACCTTAGACCTTAACTAAGCACTGGATTTCATTCCATTAAAAAGGCTTAACATATTTATCAACATATTCAGATCTATTGTGTCCCTCCTTTTCCCTGCTTTGCAAATATTTTTTTAAAAAATCATACATATTCCATTCTTCCATACATCCATGGATTTTTTAAAAAATCCCTTAGTATTTATCCCTGTTTACAATGAAAGTTAGCCCTTCTCTTCAGGCAATGTGCACACACATTCATACACAAAATCTTATGTGACTTTAAATTAAAATCTATCATGGATAATATGACAATTTGATTTCTCTTTTCCATAACTGACTTTACATGTAGAAACTCTATTAGAACAAATGAAAAATGTAGCATACTATATTTTTACAACATTCTTTATGGTGGGGAACTTCTAGTTAGTAACTGTAAATAAAGAAATTATAATTTTAAATAACATACAGGAACTGACTGAGGATAGATTTTAACTTTTTTCATCAAAATATTAATATCCTTTTTATGAAGTATTGACTTACTTAACAATATCCATACGTTTTCCATAAGTCCATATAAGTCAAATATAGCAAAGATAAGAATGAGCAAATATATAAATCAATGTTTTCCAAAACATTGCATCTGGCAGTTTCCTGCTAAAAATTCCTAAACTTTATGTGACTAACCAGTATGTTAGAATTACAAATCACTTCAATTAAGAGGATGGATTAACTTTTAAATGCTAAATTAATGCACAGAAATATCTATTTTTCCAGTTACTGCCAGTTGCATTTTGTCTGACAAAATTACATGCGGAAGACATAAAAGATCTAAGTATTCCATTATAAGGTAGCTTCAGATATTATATGCTAAGATACAAAGGAGCTTTTTTATTTTCATATTTTTTGGATTTTTAAATTATATTGGAATTTAAATATCTGAATCATCTGTTTTAGTTATCCCTGAGCAAATGAATTCTATCCATATTTATTCAGAAGTAGTTCAAGGGGTCTTTGTCCCAATAAAACCATTATACTTTAGTCTCCCTTTTGTTCTTTTTGAGGGAAGCAGTTGGATCTTTGATCCAATGTCTGAGAGTGGTGTGGAAGTCGAGATGTGTGGAAAAATAAATACAATAGAGATCCATTTTACTGGACAGTTGGCATTTATGGGCAAGGGCAAATTATATTCATTCCTAGTCTTAGGTGGGCAATCTGAGAGCATTCTGTAATGGATACACAGATAGTGTCAACTGAATGAAATGTATTTTTATTAACAATGACATGTTAAAGCCAAATACTGTCAATTGCCTTTTCCAGACTAAATTACTAAAAGAAGCCAAACAGAACAAATATTCTATTTGTTGAAAGCCAGCCTATTCTCTGAAGATGGCACCCTGAAACATCACACTGTTATTTGATCTGTACTAGTTTCCATTTTAGTTTCTAGTCCAATTTAAATGTATAATTAAATATGGCAAGGATAATTTCTCCCACATTTATTCATAGTACTCAATTATTTCATTCAGCATTATTGTTTTGCCCCAAATTCTTTTTAGTGACTCACTTAGGGAGGTCTTCAAAAGGAGTGAGGTTGTTTTATTTGTGATACCAAGATTGTAAATTGCTTACTACCTAGTTGAAGTAATATGTTTTTTTTATATATATATGAATCTAGGGTATGACTTTTTGAAGGGCTTTTGGTGATTATTTTCTCTTTTCTTTATCTTTAACGTCAAAAATTATTGCTTTTGCTAATTTGACCCATTTTCTCTCCTTTTTTATTTATTGTTCTAACCCCATGTATTGGGAATATAAATCACTCTGGTTTCCTTTGACGTGAGACATGTGTCCTACAATTGACAATAATAACCAAGCAATTACAATAAACAAAATTTCTTAGAATTAGTCATATGTAAACCACATCAATACATACTGTGGATGGCCCAGCTAGATGGCAGCACCTAGCCAGCATTGGCTAATCTCAGAAAGCTAAACAGTTGGATCTTGTTATTACTTGGAATCCCAGGCCTGTAGACTAGATTAAGAAGTCAAAACATTATGAAAAAGGTAATGGTAAATTACTTTGGTATTGTCGCCAAAGAAAGCTATGTGAACTTATTGATGAATTCATTAAGATAAAAATAAAAATAAATCGTATTACCCAAGAAGGCAAGCTAAGATATAGAAATATGGCTTCTGAGGAAAAAGAGAAACTGTTTAAAATAATTAAAATAATCTGCAATAAAAATGAGCAACAATCACAAATCTCCAAACCATGGTATAAAAATATGTAAGTAGCAATTGGAAAAAATTGGGGGGGTGGGGGAGAGAGAGAAGGGCTATTAGGATAGTTTTTCTTATTTTTTATATAATCTATTTTCATTTTCATTCTGTAATTGTATTTTCTTTTCAAATTTTCCCTGTAATGTTTATTATATCAATGTATAAGTATTCCTTTCCATTTTCTTATTTTTGTATCTTTGCTGTTTTACCAAATTAATAAAAAATAAAATCAGGGTGAAAATTCATTTATACTATAGATGAGGAAGTACTAATAGATACAAAACATGGCTCAAATATCTAATGGAATAACATGTTTTCTTTTAATAGGAAAGAAAGGAAAGACCCAACATAAAATACAAATGAGTAAAACATTTTAGATAGATTACACCGAAACATTAATGAGAAGATTAAATTACTAAAAGAATTTTTGTATTACAAGGTCATTAGTATATATTTGGAAACAAAATGTTTGTTTTCTCATTATTCTTTGGATAAGGAAAGCAATGTAAAATGTGTTAGATAGGAAAAACATACTAGTATATGCATTTGCAGATGAAATACCAAAATTTGTATTTGGTAAATTAGTTCAAGATAGAGAAAAATTAATGTCATTGGAAGTATCTTCTATGAAGTTTTGATTATTGTCAAAGCCACATCCTTGAAATTACCAGGAGTCAAATGTCACTTGGAAGAGATTTTATGTTATAAAAGGACATGAAAATAAACAACTTCATGTAAGGGCAAACTCTTCAAATGTAGAACAATAAGGAATATTTTTATTTAAAGTTACAGTATTTTGAAACAGAAATAGCAAAATAAGGAGAATGTACCCTGAGGAACAAGCATTTATGTGTTATTAGAACGGAAGATACAGTGACATCTACTCATTCTTTCCCCAGGGTTTCTTCTTATCTATTCATTTCTATATCCAGAGTACTAAGTACCAGTAGAATTCAACATTTGTCTCATTACATAATGATAAGCTATTCGGAAGTTAAACATATAGAAAGTCCAATGACTTGCGCAAGACCTATCACTTAAAAGTCAATATTATTTCTGTATTTCTATAAGTGGTGCCTTCAAAAAGTTCAGAAATAGTATAAAAGAGAGGTAAATTTTGTCTTTCAAGTTAAATAGTCGCATGTTTCTTAAAGACAACATGTTACACCCAAAACTGAAAAGTAAATGAACATGAGAGATTTGAGAAAAAAGACAGGATCAGCTTGCTGCTATATTTACAATAGTATAACACTGTCCCTCAATCCACAACTTGGTATAGGTTCATGATTCCCTTAAGGAAAATGATGAGGCTGTGAGTAACAATTAGAAATACAACATAACTGAAATATCATGTTGAGAAAAACTGGTATACACTGATTCTTATGTTGCAAAATTAATATGGAACTGATATCAAATGCTACAGGTAGAATGCAAAAACATATTATTTTTCCTATAAAATTCAGCATGCAGAGTTCTATATTTAACATAACATTCTGTATTTATATCCAATTCACATATTGATAAGGAAATAACTAGTTCCCTAAATATACGACATCCCATTATTAAAATAGCTGTACAAATCATTATATCCTACTATGTGTCTTGTTAGTGTTTATCAGATAAACAGGTTAGCAGATGACATGTATCTCTGGCAGAATCGAAATTATTAAATTAGGCCATTGGAGCCAAAATGACTAAATTAGGTCATTGGGTAGTTTTAAATTTGCAGTTTAGAAATGAGAGAACCCATTTCAAAACAAACTGTAATTTTTGATTACAACTTTTTAAGGATATGAAATTTGTTCAATCCCTATTAACTGTTAAACCAAAGCATCTGCAATCTTCTAAATCAGATAGACCTATTTAATCTATATTTTTAAAAAACAACAAAGCTAAAGTAAAATTAGCACTATTTTGTTACATTCCTAGAAGAAAACCCACCGTAGCTATTTACAACATACCGAAAAACAACTTGCCATACATATTTTAGCGAAGCCCATTGAAGGAACTTAGCCTATGTAGTTACACTGTGGTTTCATCTGTTATTTCAGACTAAAAAAAATTGGGTTAATGGAGTAAACTCTGATTCTGTTAACCATGGATAAGTGTGTGGTGTGAACTATGCCATTGGTTAGGTTTCTTGTTTTGTTTTTTTCCTAACAAAGAGCTTGAGCTATACTGTACCATGTTTCCATAGAGGAGAATATTTGTAGGTCGGGGTTGAAATGAGGAGTCCTTGATGCTTCTCTGAGCTTGGTTGTTTTCTTGCAGACATTTCACTATCCAAACTAGGTAATATCATCAGTCTGGGTGATGAAACATATGCAAGAAAACAACCAAGCTCAGAGAGCACCAAGGACACCTCACCCACCCCATGTACTATGTTTTATCTACATCATCCTGATATAATTTGAGGAAGATCTGACATTCTAGACAATAGCTGGAAGTTCAACACTTCTTGCCTAGGGTATATTTCTTCCTTCTGCCCCATTTCATGTATCTCTGTAAACAACATGCAGGTTAAAGAAAACAGATCAATTCCCATTAAGCTCTTCCTTCAGGAGTAGACATGATATTTTAAGAGGTTAACCCACCGAAACACTAACCCACCCCAAAAATATGACAAGGTTTTGTCTCCCCAATTCAACATCACTTTTAATAGCCTCACTGGGACCAAAGGGGAAGGTATTATCCTATCTTCAAAAGAGAGCAATTTTTTTTGTTTCCCTCACTTTGTTTCTGGCTACTGACAGCTAAAGAGCCACCCATTTTATTGGTCGAGTTGGCATAATAATAATAATAATAAAAAGTCACGGATGAGACTTGGAAATAGGAGAAGGACATAGAAGACAAACCTGCAAGAAAAGGAAATCCGGGGTGGGGAGAAGGGGGAGGGAGGGTGTAATTCACATTATAACACCTAGCTACGAATCAGTGCCTTTTCTTTCCCGCTCCCCCAAGAAGGGAACGAGACAAGGTGGACGAAGGGGAAAAGCCAACCCGCAGAGAAATTGACAGGGGCGAGGTGCTGACCTTTCCGGCAGCGAGCGTAGCCATCTCGCCGCGTCCGCAGCCGAAGGCAAAAAAAAAATGCCACCCGCCTCGCGCTCACACACCCAGCTGCGGCTTAAGGACGGGGTGAGAGCAACCGTAACGCGCGCGCCGTTAGAAGAAGGAGGAGGAATGGGCGGGCGGGCGGGCGGGGTGGGAGGAAGGGGATTTAAATCCCCTCACGGGTAGCAAGGAGCGGGAACTACATCTCCCATGGTGACTTGAGCGCTGACTGCAGAGGGAGGAAGAAAGGAGCCGAGCACAGTAGCGGTTCCTCTGTGAGGTAAGAGCCGGCGCGTGCGCAGTGGCTCTCGCTCCTCCCTCTCGCCTCTCGCTGCTCCGAGGCCGCGGCCTTGCTTTCTGCCCCCCCCTCCCCCTCTCTTCCCCGTTTTCTTCGTTTTTTCTCGCGCGCGCTCGCTCGCTCGCTCGCTGTCGAAGCTTGCCAGGTGTGAGTGGCGCCTGTCCTCAGTGGCGTCTTTGGTTGCCGTGAGGGAAAACGTGTCGGGCCACTCCGGGTTGTGGTGTTTTTTGGTGGTGTTTTTTTTTTTTGCCCCCCCCCTTCCTCCTGGCACGCTCCGGGCCTTGCTTTCTAGAGTGGTTGCTGGCGCCTGTTTTAGCCGAGCCCCCGGGTTTCCCGCACCCGGGGACGATGTCGGAACAGACGGGCTTAGTAGTGTCGCAGACCCTGGACAGGTAGGAGAAGAGAGCAGGAATAAAGATGGGGGGGGGGGCGAGTAACGGGCGACTCGGGTGACTTGCTGAGGTGCGTCAAGGGGGCAGAGACACCGCGACGGAGTGAGGGGGGGGGAAGCCTCTGGGAATGCCCCCCCACCACTTCCAGCTGAGAGGCCGTTGGAATAAAGGGCCGTGTAAGAAATAGAGGACAGCTTATTTAGGAGGAAGCGAGGGAAGGAAGGAAGGAAGGAAAAAGAGGTCTGTGGGTTGTAATTTGTTGCGGTTGCGGCATCTTTCAAGAGCAGAAACGAATGACACCTCGGACATATTCACCCCTCTCCGCTGGGAAACGTATATTCCAGTTGAAATTGAGTTGATATTATGCACCGTAAGCAGCTTAGAAGTCGTAATATTGATTCGTTTATAGTATTGACTTGATTTTGTGAATGCATTTATATAATCTGATTATTGTTTGCCTTCAGTTTAGCTTTTTTTAAAAAAAAAAACATCCCAGATAGGTGAAAAAGGAAGTTAGTGGAATTGAACCGAATTTGGATACATTATATGGAGCTTTATATGGAACCCCCTACCTTCTTTTTGCCATTATCCTTCAGCACTTAATACGATGTTATCAACACACAGGATCTTGTTTGTTTTGTGATCACTGTAAAAAAAAACATTTGGGTTGAAAATGTTGCAGTTACATCAATTACAGATTTAGATTGATTAAACATGGCTGTAAGCATCAGGTGTTAGTACAAAGAGAGATGCAAAACAAATCAACCTTAAGTCAATCTGTATGGAATTTACTTTCACCAAGTTTAATGAAGGAATTAAGTTCGTGGTCTCTAACTTTAGTATTACAGTGGCAAGAGAAGCTACATGCTGAGAAACTGGAGAATATTATTTGATAGAAAAAGACAGCTTATCTTTAGCAGAACTAAAATACTACGAACCTGATAAGGCTCCCTCCCCCCCCCACTCCTATACAAATGAATTCAAGGTAGAGTGAACTATATAACAAGATGCATTTTCTATCTAGGATTGATAGTATATATACAAAACCTTTCTGCCAGTGGGATTTTGTGGAATCCCACAAAATCAGTATTTTATGGTGGCTTCCCTTTTATCTCCAATGTATAAAAATAATATCTCTTGATCAGAAAGGATATAATTAGAATAAACCAAAGAACTATGATTTCATGCTTTTGATATTTCACTGCTTCAGAGGTTGGTTAATTTAAAAAAATCTATCGTATTTCCTTTCGGTAGGATCAACTATGGTAGGAGAGAGAATTCTATGTTCCAAAGTGGTATATAAATTTTACAAAATCTAGGACAATACTTTTGAGGGATTGGTGTATAATTAAAAATTAGTGTGATGTAGTGCTGGATTAAAAATGGGTAGACCCAGGTTCTAGCCCTCAGGAGCTAGCAAGATGATTATATGTCAGTCTCTCTGTGTGTCATACTGGGAAATTAAAAAGAACATTTACTTACCTA